TTGGAACCTTGCAAGCCGTCAAGTGGCATGGCTGACATTACACGAGGTTAGAAAATTTCGAAATACTTTTTTTTTTAAAGAAAAGGCCTAATTTTGAGAAGTGCTTGCTTGTAAGAAGGCAACCAGCACCCACGCGGATCTGGTAACCATATGTCGCTGATTTCACTCATGATTCGACTCATTTGGACACACTCAGACACATATCGAGCCATGCATTTGAGTGAGCGAGTCAGTCCGGCTTGGTAACATTTCAATGAGATCACGAGATAGTGCATCCGGTTGAAGAAAAATTTCGAAACTTGGAGTCAGGGTAAGTCCGAAGGGCAAGGTATATATATTTCTTGAATGCGTCTCATTGAGATCAACTCTTTTTTCCCCTACTTGGGGTCTTAGCTACTCATCTTCAGCATTATTTTCAGACTTACCTCAATATACGTTCATACTCATTCCTACTTGCACGTGTTCCAAAGGAGTGTCGTTCATACACTTTGTCAATATTTATTCATCAAAGGCGTCAATTACGTAGGTGTGCTTCAATCCCCGCTCCCTAAAAACTCTTTCAGGGCAGTTCTTATGTCTTCGTTTGCCACCGTTTTTCAAGAAGAGTGCGCTTACTGTTTGCGAACACACACAGACAAAAAACCTTACTCAAAGGTACTATTTCAAAAGGTGCCAAGAAGCGCACCGATTACATAAGGTATTGGTGTTCAATAAGATTGACACCAAGGACGAGCAAGCTAATTCCAGTCTAACGGACTCATGAGTACACTGTATCAGACTCGGATCGAGCCGTGAGACTGAGTGTGAGTGAACACGGGTGAGTAATATTTCGCTGAGTTTGTGCCCTAGCGAGCCTGGTTGAAGAAAGTTTTGGCGAGTCCCAGTGAGTGAGCTCCACAAGTTAGGATCTATGCTGGCCTCTGTCACAAGCGTTCGAGATATGAAATAAAACTGACATTTGCTTGTCCATCGCGTGAAATATGTTATCAAATAAATGCTTCAATTTTTTGCTCCATATATTTAAGCTAAGCGTACGCGCTCATTGGTGAGCCGCGGTAAAGTTCTCCTGGCACCACGTCAAGGGTGCTTCCCCCAATGGTTTGTTCGAAAAAATGAAAGAAATACACGCAGTGAAGGACAGAGATCGTATACACACTGAATTTAATAATAATAATAATAATAATAATAATAATAATAATAATAATAATAATAATATAATAATAATAATAATAATAATAATAATATAATAATAATATAATAATAATAATAATAATAATAATAATAATAATAATAATAATATATAATAAGTAGTATAGTAAGTAGTAGTAGTATTACCACCACCACCATCATCATCATCATCATCATCATCTGTAGCGTCTGTTCACCAATGCGGCCATTACAGGGTTGGTGCAGGAATCCTGACATAACAACCTAATGTCATACATGTCCGCAGCAATGCATAGCCCGTACTACACATAGTATATATCAATTTCGTTGCCCCGCCACGGTGATCGAGTGGCTAAGGTACTCGGCTGCTTAGCCGGCAGGTCGCGGTATTGAATCCCGGCTGAGGCGGCTGCATTTCCGATGGAAGCGGAAATGTTGTAGGCCCATGTGCTCAGATTTGGCTGCATCGTTAAAGAACCTCAGGTGGTCGAAATTTCTGGAGCCTTCCACTACGGCGTCTCTCATAACCATATGGTGGTTTTGGGACGTCAAAACCCACATATCAAATTTCGTGCACTAATTATAGCCTTAATTAGCTACTTTAAACAAGTCTATTTTAAACCAACGAAGCTGTGCCATAAATTACAATGGGAAAGTTGGAGATTGGTTTGCGAAATGTCCGATTAGACATTTTCCAACCTCATAGCTCTCAGGTTATTGGTTGTGAAAGGCATATTGCGCAACAGAAAAGAAAAAAAAACACGAACAAAAAGGGAAGCAAGCACAGACAGGTGCAGACTAACTACTAAATGTTTATTGTCGCGCATGTAAAGAGAAAAAAAGAGAAAGACACGTGGTTATGATTACAGGTTGGTGGTTGGATAATCTATACGGAGTTCAAAAGAGTCATATCTGCATACATACTAGTGTTTTTTTTCTTTTCTACTCACTACAGATATATGTGCAATATAAAAAAAAAGATAATAAAATACCGCGAGACATGCCGACCTTCGTGCCAGCGTGTGCGATGATTCTGGGGCTCCCTACCATGCCGCATCCGAACAACCGTAGAATTTTCCCGGATTCGCTGTCTCGACAGGGCAGTGACGATAGTGGTGGCTGTGCGACCTACACGTTTCGCCAGCGTCAACACAAGCGACAACAACGCAAGCGTCTGCTTGCGTTGTTATCGCTAACAACACAAGCGTCTCCTTATCGCTGCCACAAACCGGCGCGAGGATAGCATGTTTGTGGTACGCAGAACATTACGGAGCACTGTAATCACTTCGTGCGTAGCCCAGCAAGCGCGAATGTCACGTGGTACTTTTACGTATTACGCTGGAATCTACATGATTGATTTGTGCGGTTTAACGTCCCAAAACCACTATATGATTATGAGAGACGCCGTAGTGGAGGGCTCCGGAAATTTTGGCCACCTGGGGTTCTTTAACGTGCACCCAAATCTGAGCACACGGGCCTACGACATTTCCGCCTCCATCGGAAATGCAGCCGCCGCAGCCGGGATTCGATCCCGCGACTTGCGGGTCAGCAGCCGAGTACCTTAGCCACTAGACCACCGCGGCGGGGCGCTGGAATCTACAGTATGCTTAAAAAAAACACATTATTACTTAATGGATAGAAAGTTAGAAATTGTTTTAATCAGACGTTTAGCAACCCGGTGTTACCTTTCTCATTTTATTTCTTTCCTAGCCTCCTCACTTTAGAAGTTAGTTAATGAAAATGGTGTAATTAAGCTATTAACCAGAACACAAAAGTAGTCTGGGTTATTAAAGACAATAGTCCGCAACTTGCATTTGGTCGCGTCGTCACTGAGTGTGTCGGCATATTTTTAAACTGCGGCTAGAATTAGCTGCGTACTCTGTATATCCCGATACTACATTCTTCAACTTCGAAGAAATGTATTAGATTTGATTGATATGTCGGGTTTAACGTCCCAAAACCACCATATGATTATGAGAGACGCCGTAGTGGAGGGCTCTGGAAATTTCGACCACCTGGGTTTCTTTAACGTGCACCCAAATCTGAGCACACGGGCCTACAACATTTCCGCCTCCATCGGAAATGCAGCCGCCGAAGCCGGGATTTGATCCCGCGACCTGCGTGTCAGCAGCCGAGTACCTTAACCACTACGGCGGGGTGAAATGTATTAGATTCGATACAAAAATTTACATAACTATTTTTTTCAAATGATACTAGCCCATAACACAGCATAGCAGCGACTCATATGTCCAAACACTTCAAGGTCTCCAAGGAAGGTTACAAATGTCTTCGCAGGGCACGATATGACACTTGTGTAAGTAGGAAATAGCACACAAAACAATGTTCTGAATGATGACTCGTCTTCGTCAGCAAGTACCCTGACAAAGACGAGCCCAGTTGCCGGCAAATTAGATTAACGGGATTCCCAGTTTTATCACTGTGTAGTTCACACTACTATACGTATTCTTTTAGAACTCATATTTCAAGAATTTGACGAGCAATGGCTGAGCCTCAGTGGAGAAAAGGAACGTCAACCACTGCATAGTTTTGAATTTCCCGCCAGAGCCTGGATTCCGGTAGCGGAGCTTAGCATGTTTTTTTTTTTTGCTTTTAGTTATTGCATCGCTCGTTTGGGAGATTTTGAGTTGGGAGACCTTCTTAGCACTAGTTAGCTTAAGTGAAGAGCCCGCGTGCACATAATATTTACGTACCCTGTGTTTTTAAAGTTTACCTGATTGATTAGTTGGCGTGTTATGGCAGGAAGTACAGAACATGTAAGTTCGAGTGCTAAAAAAAGTGATTAACGATTGTGGGAGAGCTGATAGCCGTCAACTACTTTCTGGTCTCTTTCTGTCGGCTCACCAAAAGTGCTTATTCGCTAAGTGAATCTTTCTTCAATCACCCAGTATCACTCAACAAGTAAGGTTTTGTAAAGGTGAGGCACTATTCCTGTCAAATTAATCGGAAGTGAGGTGGTGCCTCTTACTAAATATACTTTATGATACCGCCAAAATGACCAAATGACAATTTCAGGTCATGGTGATGTAACTAAGAAGACACCAGCGCAAAGACCAAATATAATTATTTAGGAACATTTCACCCCCACGAGTTTCTGAGAAGTTATTCCTTTTACGTAATAACACTGCACCACTATTTTTAATTTTTTTTTTGTAATAGGAGGGCTATGATATGCGTAGTCGGTAGTAGAAAACGCGGCATGTTCTCCGACGTTCTAACCGGAGAAAAAAACCATAGCAGACGACACTCCGCACTCCGTTCTCGCCTGCAACGCTCCTACCGGAGACGAACGGAAACGCGCGCATGCGCTTCTGAACGGTGCGATCCTCCTCTTCCTCCTCCTCATCCACTGCCGCGTGCAAGGACAACCGAAGAAGCAAAAATAAGAAATTCCAGGCGGTGGAGCGAACGAGCGTACAGCGAGCGAGAATGGTTCAAAAGAGGGGAGAGGAAAGGGAGATTACAAACGGGGCGACTGGCCGACGCTGCCGAAGCGCCGAGCAAGCAAGGGGAACTCATGACAGCTGCGAGCGAGGCAGCCAGCGGCAGCGCCACTTCTTCATCCACTTGTTCTCGCTGACAAAATGGCTACCAGAGCGCCGCCGGCGGCTTTCCGCGCTACTACAAGAAGCAGGCGGCGAGCGAAGAAACGCGCTCAAAATTGAGAACAATGTCCGGCAATTTATTTCCTTAAGACCCCCTCGTCATAGCTCGCCGTTTTATCCGGTCCTTCGTCGCAGTTGATTTGTGTGCGCGTCTACTCAGAGCACAATACGAGGACGATGCCACGACTAAAAACAGCGCGTCCTTTTATGTATTTGTCGCGTTCTCTTATTCACCCTGGCGGCGCAGCCGGTTCCGATTTCTCCCGGCTGCAACGTAGCGGCGCACCCTAGCGCCCTCGCTTACAACGAAGAAACCGAAGGTCAACAGAACGCGCTCGCTCGCTCGTTGGGGCAGGACGCGTTATTTTGCCGGTTCAGCCAGGCTTTTTGTCACTGCTTTGTTTGAGACCGGGTGGCCTTTGTGACCGCTTGTGACGCTCGTTCTTTTTGTTGGTGACGAATTGTCGGTACGCCACCTCGGTGTTCGCGTCAACGCGAAGACTGGTGTCACCACCGACCGTACGCGTCTCCTCGCCGGGCAGCATCGCCTCGTGTACGACTGTTCGCTGTAAACGTGAGTGTGTACTATCCACTGCTTTCGACTAACGACACATTGTGAAGCGCGGTTACCACTAACAGTTGAGTCTGAAAGCTCTGAAGGGGGTGGCACCGCTCCGAATAAGCGCTCGACGTGATTGAAGGAGCGGTGGCCGGCGCTGTCTTTTGTTGTTGGAAGGACGTGGGAAGGCGGAGGCCGGTATCGTTGCCGGGCAGCATGCTGGGATAGAAAGATCTCCGAGAAGGCGCGCCGTTTTCGAAAATGCTGCTTCTCGTGTTGTTAAGTGGCCTCGTGTTAGCGGGGCTCTTTTTTTTTTTTTCTTCTTTTTAATGGTTGCGGGAGGGCTATCTAATCATTGCTCGGTGTAATCTTCCTGGCTCTTTGTAGTACTTCCGTGCACTTCTTTTAAATTTCTCGGTTGCTTGTTTTTACCGAAGCATTTGCTATTCGCCGTGGGGAACTTATAAAACGAATGGTTGTTAGATGAACGAAGAACGTCTGAGTATTTACTCGAGCTCCGGTGATCCCTTTCACGCGACTAATATTGTTAAAAAAAATAATGCCGGGATTTCATGCGCCAGCACTTGAATATCGCCGTAAGGCACACCGTTAAGGGGCATTGCAGATTAACTCCGACTGCCTCGTGTTTCTAAGCTGCTGACCCCAAGGTCGCGGGTTCGATTCCGGTAGCGGCAACCGCATTTTGATGGAAGTTCAAAATGCTAGAGGCCGTGTACTGTGCGATGTCATTGCATGTTTAACACTAGATGGTCGAAATTTCCGGAGAGCCCTCTACACGGTGTCTGTCATATTCATATCGTGATTTTTGGAGGTAAAACCCCAGTTCTTATCATAGTAGCGACAGCGATATATTAAATGAGAAATTGCGTACCTTCACCATCATGGACGAAGTCTTTGTGCTTGACCGGTATTTGTTTGTTTGACTGCCTGCGAAAGTACTCAAATTTTATTGACATAAAGACGTAACTTGTGTGTGACGAATTAAGGGCTCAGTTCTTAGCTTACGCATTTCATTTCGAAAAAAAAAAAAACTGTCTAGTGAAATTTCTTTTTCGGATTACTACAGACTCGGTGATTAAAGGGGTCGTGAAACGGTCGCTTTACAACGACAATGCGGCACCAACGGCAGCCACATGCGCTACCTGTATCATCAGCCCGAGTGGACCTGCATAGACGCTCAGATGCCTATCGAGGAACATGGAACTCTATGGCATATCGAGCACGCGCAAGAGGCGCTCATCGGCGTCTGCCATACGCGATCCGCGTCCCACAAGGACGCTGCTTAATATGACGTCAGAGTTCAAGTTAGCGCTGATTGCGTATGACAGAGACGCTTATGAGCGTCCCAGTTGCACGCACTCGCAAGTACCGAAAAGTTCCGCGTTCCTCGATAGGCAAAGAATTACTTATGATGACGTCACCTAGTTAGGGCGTGTGGACGCCGGTGGTTTTCGCATTGTCGATTTAGAGCGAGCGTTTCACGACCCCTTTAATACTCGCGAAGCACGGGACAGTGAATATGAGGCTATAGCCATTTATAAATGACCTGCTAAACTATACTTCAGTCTTGTTCTATATTCTTTATCTAACGGCTTCGCTGTAATGCGTTGCCGTGGAGTGCAACGGTGTAACGTTATGTAGTAGACTACTTCAGGGCTCGTACGGCGCCAGTTTATGGGTGACGTGAAACGTGTCGTTTCTGCTCAGGTCTCGTGACCTGAGCTTAGACTGAGGACGTTAGCTTAGACTGCGCTGTGACGTTCACATGTTCAGTCTATAGAGCGAGTGTGTGTGTGTGTGTGTGTGTGTGTGTGTGTGTGTGTGTGTGTGTGTGTGTGTGTGTGTGTGTGTGTGTGTGTGTGTGCGTGCGCGTGTGTGTCCGCGTCGCCCGCCGAGGATACTCGGACTCAGGGGTGTGTGGCTCGATTTGTGGATCGTGATAATCATTTCATATTGCGGATAATAGCATAGTAATATCGAAGGCTTTCCGTCCTCAACTTGCGTATAATCTTGATGACCATGCATATACGATGATCGACACTATGGAGTAGTAGGTGGAGTATTGGGATAAAAAGTTTGAAACTTTAGCCGAAACGACATACGTTCTATAAAAAAAAAAATGACCCGTCAGCATGCGTACAAAAACATAAAATGCAATGAACAAAGAAAGTTGATCTAGTTTAAAGGGATTCTGGCACAAATATTTGGAGCTGAGTTTACTTTAGCATGCAGACCTCTCATCTAAAAATAAGACTCTGAGCGAGTCTTTTAACTCCGTAAGTGCTGATAAAATATCTTGCTTTGACGTAAAGGTGAATTTTCGTACGGCGCACCTGCTCGCGTCGATATTAGCGTGGCAATCGCGGCGACTTCACGCACAAGCGTAACTTGTTGTGACGTCGTCACATACCGATGACGTCAGGTATGCGTCACTAAAAAAAAACCACAAAGAGGAGCGGCCATGCAAGTATCGCGAGATATCGCGCGTGCACGCGAGAAAACGCTCGTGTCGTGGCGTCTTGGTACAGTATTAACCGAAACTACCATTTCAAAAGCCTACGGCACATTTTTTAAGGCCCCTCTATGCCGTTAGACGCCGAAAAAAAAAAGAAACAACTAAACAACAATTCAGAATTTTAACGTCGATAGCCTCTTAATGCGTGTCGAGAATGGGTCTCGGGAAGTCGGCGAATGCTTGTGCGTTCACATACAAGATGGGCGAAATTTGAGCCTATTTGGTCAATCACCTAAAAAGAGAGAGATAAATAGAGAGGAAAGGCAGGGATGTTAACCAAGCTTGGCTCGGTTGGCTACCCATTAGCGTGGTCGACGGAATTAACAGGCTGCGTTCGTGGGAGGCATGGGTAGCTCACTGCCGGTGGGTGACCCTAGTTGTCTCCGCACAAGAGCCAAATGAAGGTCATGCGATTGGATTTCAGCCATGCAGGAAGCGACTCATCCGCTACACATGGTAGAGCCTTGTGGTGACGATCGTCGGAAAAAGCTCAGTGGGCTGCCTGAAGTCTACTTTCTAGGTTACGCGTTTCTATCGGTGGATGTCGTGAAGAAGAGGTATGAAGTTCACACGAACCTGCCCACGTAGACTAGACTATACAGTGGTCCCTCCGGAAGGTCCGGTGTAAAGGAGCCATTTGGCGTTACGTACAACCGCCTACCGTATTACACGTTAGAAATTAGCAAAAAGGGGTGAAGAAAATGTTCAAATGGACACTGAGATGGTCAGCCAAATGGCATGTGGCAAAAGAGCCATGCAAGTTTGGCTATCAAAGCTTGGTGCCACCACGCGTCTATACATTTAGCTTGGTTCAATCACCTAAACTATAATAACAGAATATTGCCCTAAAGATCCGAGCAGCCTGGGCGTCATGCAACACATTCGCACTAGCGAGACGTGACGTAACAAGCTGCTTCCTGCACGAGCGCCTGCATTCTGGGTCGAACTATCTTGTTCGTTGGTCGACTGCAAATGCTATCGCGACATTATAGTTTTATTCAGCTTGGTATTGGAAATGAACGGTTGGCAGTGGCCGAAACGTTGGTATAAGACGACGGCTCGGCTTCACGCTGCGCATGACGTCACCCACTCCATGGAAGAATGGCGGTCGGCTATGGACGGACGGGGTTTATAGTAGGTGACTTTTGGACCTTACTTTGTTCTGAAATATTCTTGTAAAGTGTGTTTTTCATGTACACATAGGTGCAGTAGACCCTTCAATTCTATCCACAAATTGTTGGGTGACCGTGTCATGGCCCCTTGAATGCATTAGCTAGGGTGCAACAGGAATTCCCTCTGAAGCATTATTGAGAGTGACTCGTTGCAATTTTTTTCCTTTGTTTAACAGTGTGGCAGACTCCCACGCATCGAGCATGGATGGGGAAGCTACCGAGGAGCCCGATCTGTGTAACAGCCCGGGCCCGCTGGAAATCGCCTTGGACTGTTCGAGCGTGGAGTCGTCCAGCTGCGAAGCAGCTACGCCATCTCCGCGGGAACCTTCACCCGTTGAACCAGTTCCGCCACTGGCGATAAACAATGCTTCGAGGAAGAAGATGAAGAAGACTGGTCGCCGATTCGCGGAGTCACTCTCGATGCAGAAGAAGAAGAGGAAGAAGGAACGTGACTCTGCCGCTGAAGAGGATACCGCCGGCAGAAGCCCAAGAGCTCCCCGGAAACGGAAGTCGTATTCCGTCACGGAAAAGCTGGCTCTGGTAGCCGAGGTGGAGGCGGGACGAAAGAAGGTGAGCGAGCGAAAGTCTGACATCCATATTGAGGTATATCTTATGAACGTATGAAAAGTTTAATTTAATTTCACATATTCCATGATAATGATTGATTGATATGTGGGGTTTAACGTCCCAAAACCACCATATGATTATGAGAGACGCCGTAGGCTACGGAAATTTCGACCACCTGGGGTTCCTTAACGTGCTCCCAAATCTGAGCCCACGGGCCTCCAACATTTCCGCCTCCATCGGAAATGCAGCCGCCGCAGCCGGGATCCGAACCCGCGACCTGCGGGTCAGTAGCTGAGTACCTTGGCCACTAGACCACCGCGGCGGGGCGATTTCACATATTCCAGTACAGAGGAAGTAAAGTTGATGAGCACGAGGTATATTGAAATTGAAATTGAAATTTATTCCGCAACAACAAAATACATGTTACGAGGAGGGCAGGTAAAAGCTGTGAGAACAGCTTGAGAAGCCCTGACCCCCTAGTACACAGGGTAGCACAGAAAGACGTGCGGCTAAGGACAACCAAAATAAAAGTGTTTCACAATGTGCACTAAAAAAAGAAACAATGAAAGATTACAATGAAAGATCACCGAGGTAGTCGCTAGATCACATTATTATATAAACACTAATCGCAATTTTTTTGGTGATATGCTAGATATATCAATGTTATGTTCCCTAATTATGCGGTTTAGAAGTGCAGGCAGTTGAAACTTTAACATTTGACATATATAGCTGGAGCCAGCGTTTCGATAAGCAGTCTCGTCTCGTGCGTGTATGTGTTTGCTGCTTTGTACCACCCTGTCACCCATTCAGCCTTTGGATATACTAGTACATACATCCGCAAACACATAATGTCTTACGAACACATACAAAGCCGTGTGTGTTATAGTTGCATAAAAAATCACAGCATATCCACGGAGTGAATGATGATGAGTGGGGCGAAGTTTCGCGGGCTTTCAGTACCGGGTCCGCCTGTCTTTGTGCGGGTCTGTGTCTTTCTGTCCGCCCGTCTGACTGCCAGCGAAGAAGGAGCGCCATCTATTGAGCGCCCTCAGTACTAGCAGTGGACACAGCGCCATCGCCTATCACACTAGAGCATCGCAGTTGAGCGAGCGCCATCGCCGTAGCGGTGGCTACTACGACGCCGCACAAGCCTACGCCCTAAGGGCTTTGCCCCTAAAAAAATAACGCTATTTCTTTTTTTTTTTGAATAGACGAACAAAATTTTATTCCTACATTATGTAATCGTCGATGACCAAGTGATAACTAATGGCTCAAATCCATATGTAGCTAAGTAGTCCACAGCAATCATGTGTTTGCGAAGGTACACTGGCACGAAAGTGTTAGTGTGTGAACGTGGCATGAGTGTGAAAGCTCCCGCACAGTCCGCCTCGGTGGCACAGTGAGTGATTACCATAGGCGTCCGCAAGAGGAGAGGGCCGAGAGAGGCGACCGCCTCTCCTCCTCCTCTATAGTCACCTAAGAGGGAGTAGCAAATTCAGCCCTATACATTCGCATGATAGTCAGGGGGACGCTGCAATGAACCTTCACCCCCCCCCCCCCCCCTTTCACAAATGGGAACCCCTGCGCACACCTGCGGTGGTTTCGATGCTCGGCTGCCGATGGACTCGGAAGGTCGCGAGTTCGATCCAAGCCACGTAGGTCACATTGCAGTGGAGGCGAAATGCGAGAGACACATTCTGCGCGATGTCAGTGCACGCGAAAGGAACCAGACTGCTGAAGTTTCTGGTGTCTCTCACTACGGCGTATCTCATTATCATATCGGAGTTTCGGCGCTTTAAACCCCAGATGTTACTATTCCCAGCCTAACCTCACCTCAAGTATTGAACGATATTTTTATTAGTTATATTTTTTTTCGGCCAAGTAGTGTAATCTCACATCGAGTCACATTACGCTATGTTCCTAATCAGCAGAACCGTCCAGTGGAATTTGTAAAAACACAGCAGTACATATTGCAGCATGGCATGCGTAACAACGACAACAACAGTAAAAAGGTGTCGTTGTCGTAGAATTCTTCCGAAGCTGGATATGCGATGTTTTTGCAGGTGTAACAAATTTATGACGCAAGCGAAACACAATGCCTAATATATTTACGTTACAACAAGCGCGATACACATGACTTAGTCGTTCACATGCTTTAACTTGAAGAACAAACTTAACTAAGCAGCTTGAAGGGTCTATTAGGCGGTAGAAGGCACAACCGATGGCATCAGAGGAGCTCTTAATTGGACGCTATTTGGTAAACATTTTTGCGCACTGAGCAATAAGTAACAAAGATATTTTACCGTTTGTGTGCGCGTACGACGCTTGTTCCATTCTGAGGTAATCACGATAAGATATGATGAATCTATCATGCAACTAATACAGTGGCAGTTCTGTAGCTGTAACCGAGTGGTGTGCCAAGTCACAAGATGCAGCGCCAGCCCTCGTCGTCACTCGCTTTGCGTGATCCCCTTAAGATATTCTTTTTATATGAAGGTGGAACACCATACTCCTTGATGCCAGAAACATTTGCCGCCGCTTTGATATGAAACACGAGAACTCTCAACAACAACAAAAAAAAAAGAGGAATGGCTTACCATTTTTTGTTTCCGAGTGGAAGTGGTTGAAGCGAACGTCGTAACTCGTGAGTTGATTCAAAATGGAGCCTTGTCAGTCATATTGAAAGTATAGTTGTTAAGGCAGTGTCGTTAACGAGCCACGAAATGACAGACAGGAGCGGTTGATTGAAAACGTCTGCGCGTCCATTTCTGCTTCTTCCGTGGTCGTCCATTCGTGTGCGCCTATTCGGAGAACTTGCAAAAGATACGTGAATCGCGTGGCTGGAACAGAACACGCGCTGGAGCCGAGAACCATGGCGTATAGCTCGTCGAAACACCTATCTTGTCGCGCTGCATCGAGATCAGATAAGCGTAGAGCCGTCGCGCGATTGCGCCACGACAGTCGGCGCGCTGCAGAATAGACGGTGACGCAGATACGAAACAGACCCAATCATGGCTGCCGGTCGCGGCGTTTGCTCCGCAGCTAGACAGAACATGGTGCGCATCTCTGAGGAACTGTTCTCACGGTATCCGATTATTGCACGTGTCCGATTCGCCGCAGCGCGTTCGGGTACGCAAAAATACGACTAGTTGTGACGTCACGGCGCTATTGACCTTTTAAGCACGTCGACACACCGAACGCGGCCAACACATGCGCACCGCAAAAAGAAACTAAGTGGGCGAAATGTACACAGCAGCAGATCTCTTAAAACGTGCGCATGAACTTGCTGAGGTGTTTGAAGAGCGATGCAGGGAATGCCTTCTAGGCAACGTTGTTTCCTGGGGCGTCAGGAGGGCAATCGCGTTAAACCTAATTCAAGGGCTCATGCGATTTGAGTTCATGCACGGCCTCAGTGATGTGCGTCCAAAAAAAGAAAACGGGTCTCTGGGGCACTGTACTTTGTCGCGACATCTTGGAGAATTCATTAAAGCAAGGGAATACACTCATCCCAGCTCAGCTAGGGGGCCTCAGTTAAGAAATGTAATCCCGCAAGGGTCGGGCCTGCGAAGAAGGTAGGAGCAGAGGGGGGGGCACAAACGAAAAGTGCTAGACTGCTCTCATTTCTTATATACGGGTCATTTATTTACGCTAGCGCCAGATTTACCTCTAGCTCAGGAGTCTCTTCCACGCGGCTATCGTAGCCAAAGAGTTTCCTAAAATTAACCAGAGGGGACTCTGGCGCTGCGATCGTTAGGCGATCATGGGTAGTACACGGATTTGCCTAGTCCTCGTACATGCGGGTGGGGAATCACGCTTGTGGCTTCGTTCACTGCTGTGTTTCGCTTTCACTTCGAAGGAAAGAACGAACCATCTTGACCTTCGTGACCCGATTTGAAACAGGAAGCCTAAAAATTTAAGGTAGTGGAGCGCAACTGCCGAACATTTTGCCGATTGCTGTTTCGTGACAAATCAGCTTCAAGCCATGCGAAGCCAAAAGGAACGTAAAGTACGAAGACTATAGGCAAATCCGTGTACTATTCATCATTCCCATGCTCGCTGAAGTGCCATGCGTTGCACCTCCCATAGACACTAGCGCCAGAGTTCGCTAGTGTATACGTGGGGAATTCCATGATGGTGTAGCGGCCCGCGTACGCAGATGACAGTCCCCGCCCCCCCTTTCTTTTATTACTGTGTGACTAAAGTTTTGTGACTTCGCTAAATTAACTTCGCAATATTATGCGTTTAATAGCTCTTTGTTTCGGGTGTGATGCGCTGACATTCCTGGCCTGAGGTACGCTTTGTTCTCCTAAGGTATTTCATTCTCAAAACATCCGATGCGGTGCAGCTAAAATTCTGTTACTGAATTAGCGTGATTAGTGATTCTGTATAGCGGTATCGACATGTTGTTCGAATCCTCTGATGCCAAATACCTCTTGGAAATTACCTTAAGATTGTGTTCATGATGACTTCATTACGCATGAATTATTTATGGTAAACGCTTTACCTATAAACGAACGCAGCATAAATGGTGTGCACTGACGTCATCTAAACTCCCACGATGGCGCACCTGCATGGTAAAACGCAAGGTTTTTGACGTCGCGTATGTGCTGTCATGACATTCAGTTGGAATGTCTGTGTTCCAAACACACGGAGGCCAAAACTATGGTGGCTGCATATATATAGTTATCATAGTGAAGCATCTTAAGCCCTGTGTGAATATACTCATTCACGTCGTAAGAACCGCCATGTTGGTGAAATTAAGAGCACCTCATGAGGCAGCGTTCATGGCGTTTCGCGCAAGCGATTTACAACCTAACGAAAGTTTCCCTACTGAAACGATCCGTATGCGATGTCCAATAATTTCGTATGTTTCCGTGATAATCTTACGGAAATATATGGAAAATATATGCGAAACATATGTAGTTTTACGGAAACATACGGAATTATTGGACATCGCACACGGAACGTTTTAGTAGGGTTATAGCCTATAATGAAGTGTTGGTTGTCGCAGGTGGACATCTGCCGCGAGTACGGCATCTCGGCCTCGACGTTGGCGAGCATCACCAAGCACAAGGAGCAGTTCATGGCGGCGTACGAGGAGAGCCGGCTGAAGGCCAAAAGGCTGCGCAAGGCCACGCGCGAGGATCTGGACCGTGCCCTGCTGCGCTGGTACCACCAGGCCACGGCCTCCGGAACCCCCATCAGCGGGCCGCTGCTGCAAGCCAAAGCGGAGAAGATTGCCGCTGAACTCGGGTACGAATCATCATCATCATCATCATCAGCCTGACTACGTCCACTGCAGGACAAAGGCCTCTCCCATGTTCCGCCAGTTAACCTGGTCCTGTGCTTGCTGCTGCCAATTTATACCCGCAAAACTTCTTAATCTCATCTGCCCATCTAACCTTCTGTCTTCCCCTAACTCGCTTGCCTTCTCTGGGAATCCAGTTAGTTACCCTTAACGACCAGCGGTTATCCTGTCTACGAATATACTACTTCAAAGTGTGAATAACTGCACGGAGACAAGGCACAGAAGGAAGAAAACGATTGTACAGGACCACTGGTGTGTTCCTGTCTCGCGTTACAGGAGTACTGAAATCAATTTTCGAAGCTAACGTAACCCCGCCATACGAATGTCCCGTGCACGTGGCTCTGAGCTGGGCTCAGGAAATGCTAAGATAGATCTTACTCGAAGGTCGTGGGCTCGATTCCCGGCCTGTAGCGGTCGCAATTCGATGGAGGCGAAATCGTAGAGGCCTGTGTACAGTGTGACCTCAGTGCTCGTTAAAAAACATGAGATGACCAGACCTATTGGAGCCCTCACTACGTCGTCGCCCGTAATTATACTGGGGACGTAAACCCCCACGCATTATTTAACTGCTAAGATGTTTAATTTGAACATTACTCTCAGTTTTCTGCAGTGGCGCACTTACTGATAGCGACGCTATCGTGACGTGTGAACGTTATACGCGTTTAAAAGATGGAGGCCGTGCTTGATGCGGCTGGTTAATGTGCGCCTAAATCTAAGAACGTGGGTAGTGAGGTGGATTTCGCGCCCGTTGTAGTGTGGCCTAGCATTGGTTGGCATTGCCGATGTTGGCGCTGCTTGAAGAGGAGAAGAAATTATATACCACCCCCCCCCCTTCCCTAAAAAAAAGTTTTCTTTTGCATTTGCACATATACACAGCTACTCATACAAACGCGCGCGCGACCATCACAAAACTTGGCTGAACCACGTCCCCCCCCTTCCCCAACTACACGCACGCACGAAAGGAATTTCCGACAGCACCCCTGTGGCTGGGATCCGCATCAAAACCCACGCTCTCGTGCTTAGTAACGCGAGTAATCTTCCGTGCTAAGCTACTAGGCTTTGTGTGTGTTTGTGTGTATTTGTGTGCGTTGCCGCTGCTCATTCTCCATCGAATGCTAACGTCAACCATTAAACGTAATACGACAAAATATGTCCGTCGGCTTAGCTCACTTCAGAACGGAAATTCGGGGCAGAGGTGTTTGTTTGTCTGGAAATCGATGTAACATGACAATTACCAATATAGAGTTTCCTAAAATATAACTGCAGGGGACACTGGCGCTGCAATCGCTAAGCGACCGTGGGAATGATGAGTGGTATATATAGATTGCCTAGTCTTCTTGCTTGCGGGCGCCGTGTGCTGCAAGGAAACCAGATGGCGCAAACCACCGGGGAACAATAAGCGAAAGGAAAGAGCATCAACTTGCAAATGACGTTTATTCGAAACGAAGAACATGCTATACCTTCGCATAAATCTCACGAATATGCACGCATCATTCAACACGAGATTACGTGGCTCAATCGTACAGCGCGGAAAAAGATTGATTGATTGATATGTGGGGTTTAACGTCCCAAAACCACTATATGATTATGAGAGACGCCGTAGTGGAGGGCTCCGGAAATTTAGACCACCGGGGGTTCTTTAACGTGCACCCAAATCTGAGCACACGGGCCTACGACATTTCCGCCTCCATCGAAAATGCAGCCGCCGGCGGAAAAAGATTCTTCCTTGGTGGTTTTCATCGCCTAATTTGTTTGCAGTATGGGCCGACTCGACCAAACCGAGGTATCGTTACCGTATCCTGCAGGTACGAGAACCGCACGGTGCCCAACGCGTGGATCGACCGCTTCAAGAAGCGGCATGCGATCACCTACGCTCGCGAGCGCAAGGAGATGGGCGCCGACATTCCGGACGTGGACACCTGGCTGAACACGTCGTGGCCGCAGATCCGCTCCGGCTACTCCTCCTGGGACATCTTCAGCGCCGTCGAGACCGGCCTGTTCTTCAGGGCGTTGCCCAAGGAAGCGGCACAGCTCAACGGGGCCACCTGCGAACAAGGACAACTGGCCCAGGACAGGCAAGTGGCTGACGGGCGCGAAGGGACGGATGTTTCTTTGTTGTTTTGGGGGTGTTGCAGGTTTCGTCGCGATATGCTACGTCAGAAGAGCACGCATATGTAACGTCATCATAACGCGTATGTAAAAGACACAACCAACTGAACCGAGCCCAAAGTGACGCCGTAAATTAGCGATGTAAATTAAAATTGAATGAAGCTGACAAACAGCCACCGCTTACAAAGGTTGGATCATAATGCTGATCTGATACGAAGGTTATGGGTTTACTCACTTCAGTTGCGTCTTTATCGTTATTTTTGTCCTGATGAAAGTGCGTTACTTCAAGTATACGGTATAATGTATGCGATATGATGTATACGGTATGTTGTACGGTGTGACGTACCACTTTTTATGTATGTTCACGGGTGTGTCTGTGTGTGTGCATGCATGTACACACATGCAGACTTAAAAGTATGTCAAAGGGATATAAACCCCATCACTCCTTAGTACATCAGGGCACTAGGCGTTGGGCTGTGCGCCGCAAGCCACCATCTGGGTGGCGTCTCTCATAATCATATAGTGGTTTTGGGACGTTAAACCCCACATATCAATCAACCATCTGGGTGTCACTGGACACGAAGCTGAACGTCCCTTTAGTTAGGTGTCCCGACTTGTCAGGCATGGCTGCAGGGCAGGGTGACAGTGTACGAAGAAGTTATTGTCACCGCGCATGACGTATAGCAGGACAATTGTCGAAATACAACGCGCGGCCTCGCCAGTGGTCAAGTTATACGTGGGTTCTCAATCAGTGGCACGTTACAGTATACTGGATAATCTCTGGGAAGTTAAGCTTACCGTCAACGGGAAAATTTGTGCGTGTGTCTGGAAAGGCGCCTAGTCCCTGTGCGAATGAACTATTGTGCCGAATACGCACAGCTCGTATTTAACGCAATGTGGCTTTAAACAAACCGAAGCTTCAACTGTGTTACAGCTTGCCGAACGTTGATCTAAGATATTGCATTTGCTCTGAATTCAGACCGGGCCACTGGCGATACTATTAGCGTTTGTGAGAAGCCTACCAGGCATTACTGCGAACTGGCGATCGATAAATACTCCAAGATGATTTTAACCTAACGTTTTCAATTCAGGCGTAACCTTTTTTTTTTCCTTGCCAGTTATGAGAACGTTGTAGCCAGAACTTCCTTTCACAACGCGCTTACAGGCTTCTATAAACGGGATTTTGCGTTATACCATTTTCTGTTTATCTCCAGGTTCACCATCTACCTCTGCACAAACATGACCGGCGATGAACGGCGGCCGCTAACGGTCGTGGGCGCGTCTCCGCTGCCTCACAGCGTCGTCCTGCCGGGTCTCACGTACTCCGTGAACGAGAAGTCGTGGATGACGCGGCGGGTGTTCGTCGAGGAACTACGTCGCTGGGACCGCGAGCTGGAGGCTCGCAAGCGAAAGGTCCTGCTTCTAGTGGACCAGACCGTGTGCCACGAGCTGGGCAAAAAGGCCAACCTCAAGTACATCGACGTCATCTACCCTCCTCCGAACACGAGCGGCCTCCTAATCCCCTTGGACCAAGGGGTCGTGCACGCGCTCAAGCGAAACTATCGCAAGGCACTCGTAGTCCACACTGTGCTTCAGGAGATACCCACGGTCCTACAGGTCCGCGAGGCCCTGCGACTTCTGGCCGTCGCTTGGAGGGACGTCAAGGACAAGACCATCAGGTCCGCTTTCGGGGCTTGTGGTCTGCACAGCATCCACCATCTCAATGACAGCGCCGAAGAAGGACGGCGACCACGACGGGACGGACGATCCTCTCGAGCTATGGTCGTCCCACTACGACCTGCCCGAAGACCTGGTTGACGGCATCGGCGAGTTCGAAAACATTGACGAGTTCGTGGCCACGTCGGCCAAGCTGCAGACCGATCAGGTCGGAGAAGACGCCGGCGAGCAACGGCTATCTTTGTCCAAGACCGACGGAAACACGCGGTTGTCAAAGAAGGCTGACAGTATAGCTTCGTACGAAGTCCTAGACGCGATCGACTTGCTCCTGAAATATTGCGATAACTCGCCTCTCGGTATTAGCAGGACTGACGCTGAGAAAGCTGCCCTAGGACTTAACGCTTTGCGCGCCAGCGCCCAGGTGACGGCTTTCAATAGGACGTATTCTCTGAACTCTAAGTGATGTGCCGGACATTGAAGCGTTTCTCGTTAGTTTGAAGACGACCCGTCGAAGATCTGCCAGCTGTTCAACTGCAATCTCGCCCTCTTGGTGTGGATGACGAAACCATGTGAATTCATCCGATTAATTTCGGGACTACTCTGTATGCGAATGCGGCCTTGTTAGCGAAAAACATTGGCTATCAGGTCAATGGCGATGTGCCAGAAGTGCGGTGGCGTGGATTCATCCAAAAATTTCTGTTTGTTCTTTAAGTGTGCTCGAGAAGTTGCAGCCACAACTCTCCAGTTGCCACTGTGGCCATGAATGCTGCGGAGGGAACTGGATGACTTGACATTCTTCGCGTAACTTCTGAAACAGACGCCCTCGAACGTGCGCACTTTTCAAGCGCCACGCTGGGCGCAATGCCGAGTCAGTCGGCGTTTGAACACTGTATGAAAACAACTCGAATTGTGACACAAACACCACAGAGTTCAAGTAGTAAATTAGGGCATTACACTCTCGGAGCCCTGCAGGCAAAGCCTGACGAAACTGATGATGTCGGTGAAGATGTAAACTTGGGCACACTGTGTTCCGAAGGTTGTTGAGACAGAAATAAAGGTATCAGTTCTGTGGTTTGACTTAGTGAAGCGAGCAGCAGGCTCCTGCTATGCTATAGCGCTTTTAGAACATGCAAGGGAAGTGCAGACGCAACGCCGCGTGGTGATACTAGCTATGCCGATATTTTTTTTTGAGCCAGGTGAGATTCACCTGGCTAAAAGCCCAAGCATGTGTGAGATTCAAGCCCAAGAAAGCGTGAGATTCAATGTAGAAATTCGGTCTAGTTGTCGGGTGTAGATTATGCGCATCTTAGAAGCGCAGCGAACCAGTCACAAAAGAAAGACGCGTAAACAGGACGGGTGCTAGGCATCACGCGAAGGTTGATTCACGTAGAGAGAGATAAAGATGCAAGGAAAGGCAGGGAGGTTAACCAGACGCACATCCGGTTTGCTACGCTGCACTGGGGAAGGGATGGAGGGGAGCAAGGAGGTTGCAGAGAGATGAGAAGCTTGATTGACGTAAAACGAAAATGCACCGAGATGCGCAGAACGCACTGAGAGTTGCAGACGGCGCTACCAACGCAGACACCGGCAACATCGCTTCAGAGACGCTGGTTAAGTTCGCGCGCAATGCCAGTGAAGGTGGACGCACGCAGTTATTAGCTGCCACCCCACCCCCGTGGTGGTCTAGTGGCTAAGGCACTCGGCTGCTGACTCGCAGGTCACAAAAATCGAGTTCCGGCTGTTGCGGATGCATTTTCGTTGGAGGCGAAAGCGCTGTATATAGGCCCGTGTGCATAAGTTTGGGTGCACGGTAAAGAACCCCAAGGTGGCCGAATCTTCCAGAGTCCTCCACTACGGCGTCTCTCATAATTATATGGTGGTCTTGGGACGTTAAACGCCATATTATTATTATTATTATTATTATTACCATCAGCTTCTATACTGATGCAGTATGCGTCATAGATTTCGCAAGCTTGGTGAGCAGCAAAGCTGAACAAGATACGGGTGCCTTCAAAGTCAGGAACGTTAGAAAAGCTTGCAGCAGTTATCTGCCAAATGTCCAGCCCCCGCCAATATAATCAGTTTATAGAATCTGATAAATGCGTGAGTACACCTTCACTCGTCTCGCACGTGAAAGAAACAGCGTCTCTGAAGCGAACATTGCAGGTATCTGCCTCAGTGGCGCCAGTCTTCGTGGTTTTTGATCGTTTTATGTAAAAAAAAAAAACTAGCAGCATATCCACGGAGTGAATGATGAAGAGTGGGGCGAAGCATTCGTCCGTTCATTCGTTCTTGCTTCCCGCCGTCCATGCGTCCGTCAGTGTGGCCGTCCATGCGTCCATCAGCCCGTCCGTGCGTGCGTCTGTTCGTGCGTCCGTCCCTGCGTTCGTCCATGCATCCGCCCCTGCGTCCGTTCATGCGTCCATCCATGCATCTGTCTGTGTGTCCGTTCGTCCATCTATTCAACACTCCAAGTACCACCATCTCGCATCTTTTCATCATATATTCCCCATATAGAAGCACCGCCATCCAGCGGACATTCCAAGGACTAAACGAGAGGTGGCACACGCCCACATTCTTACGGCTTGCGCTTCGTGTCTACTTCCCACGTTTAGCCACCTCGAGTTCATGGTATATACTAGTTCACTGTATTCATGGCACTGCGGCCCAACGCTCGCTAAACCTTTCTAAAACCAAGGAGGTTACGCCCAGCGAGTATAACGTGGCAACCTTTTCCTGTCAGATAGTGCTCAATGTACATGCCGATGGCTGCTAATAGGGAATGAGAGACAGGAGCATTCGGCTTTTAGTTAACGCGCACGCTGCGAATTTTTTTTATTGTTCAACAACGCGCAGGAGAATTTTCCCACCGGCACCACCTTGGAGGTCAAAATGTAACACTTGTTACACACTACGACTACGAGGGCCGAACGGGTGCCGCTATAAGAGGCTTCGCCCCTGAAACTTTCATTTGATGTCTAGCGCCCGCCCTGTTTATGTGTCTCTTACCTTTGCGTCTGTTCCGCTGCGCTTGTCAAGACGCATAAGATTGAGATGATTCAGTGGTGATTTAGTGGAAACTCTGAGAGAACTGCGTTATGTTATATTTCGGTACGTAAAACTATACGACGATAGACAAAACTAACCGACGCCAAGGACGACAAGCTGATTTACACATATGCTGTGAAGATGGAGGTCGGTCTCGTAGGCCTGCGCCGGGTTCCCTGTTATAAGGTTTGGTCTCCGGTTCTCCAGGAGTAAAGATGGAAGGTAAGCAGCTCTTGTAATGCAACATCCGGGGCCTTCGGTTGCCAGTATCGTCCAGAACCTGCCTTACCACAACTCTGTTCTTTAAAAAAGTGACGGCACCGTTCCGATTGAGTCAAAGTGTGAAGCAGACCTTGTGCTCGTTAGGTATAAATAGGTAATTAAGTAATTGGGCTTTGGCCCCTCCCCCATTTGCCGATTGGTTGTTTACTGGTTTGCTTGGAGGTCGGCTGAATTGTGTTCCTTCCGAGTGGGTAGGATAAGCTCTACACAGACTACACACTCTTTGTAAATATGTGCTCCCTAAACGCCAACGCATTAAAGCTCTACCTTCTTGTATTTAGCGACAGACTGTTTGATGATGCCGTCGATCTACTAGCTCGTCCAAATTCTGATCCTGACCGAGTAAGACAAGCTTCCTAGCGACTACGTACAGCCGTGAAAACAGTTTAGGAACCATTGCCGTCTATAAAGGTTTGCCGTCTCCGCCGTCTAGTGGCGAGCCCTGGACTGTTGAGAGCATTGCCCGGACGAATTCCGTCAGAGCAGTGCTTTCGACGGCAGGCGGCTGGCCCCGTGAAGACGTCCACGGCTGTTGCGGCACGCGCTCTCGTGATCCGTCTACTTTTGCTCGCGAGTGTCCGTTTCTTGCTAAGGTCTCTTCCTCCCTATACTCTCAGGCATTGAACCTCTTTTGCCGTCTTCATAGTGCTTCACCATGCAATGTTTGATTGTATCGTCGATCCGCCGCCGGGGAGGTCACCGGAACGTTTGACAGCGGCGAATATAAATTGAACGAAGCCGCGTTAGGAAACACGGACACGTCCGCAGCCGCCAGACGACGCCCACGCGATGGTGCGGGAAAGTCAAACGAGGTCGCGGATCACGCCCACGGCGAGTTCGAAGCCCGACCTGTATGTCACGAAAAAACAGCTGGAAACGTGTACTACATAACGCCAGCGGTCAGTTCGGAAGCACTAGAGAGAATAAATGGTAGAAAAGGAAGGGTAAGCACGTGAACCATTCCAGGAAAAGCTGTTTGCTACCCTACACATGAGAACGGGATGTGGGTGATTGGAAGAGGAAGTGGAAAGAGAGCACAGCACACACGCGAGCGCACAGTGCAGTAACACTTCGTCAATCTGGCGTGGAACGCCACATTGCTGTCACAGCCACTCGTCCAGGTCCGTTTTTTCAACAACCTCAGTAGTTCCGTGGTAGGGGTGTTGTACAATCACGTTAGGTCCATGTGCGCTCCAAAGTTTACCAAGTGTGGAAGATACGACACCCGATTCACGAGTGCCTATCAAACAGGACTAGCATTTGTCGCTGCGGTGCTTTTCGGAAAATTTCGTGTAAATAATTAGCGTGAATATGTGCTTGCATTCGATGCCAGTCTCTCGCCAGCTGTCGGGATGAGGTGAGGCTCTGGATCACCTTCCAAGTCTCGAACACATAACATTCCAGTGCACACAGCGTCCGGCAGATGCTGTCGAGCCGCTGATTAAAGACAGGCTCGTAAATTAGACGTGTGAGGCAAGACTCTCCACAATAAAATCGGGAAGCCAATCGTGGTTCCCTCAACCAGGTCCGGCGAGTCTCAGTTGCCATTGGAGCCCTGGACGAGAAGCTTCACTCACTAGCCGGGGAGTCCATTTAAATCTTTTTAAGTTAACGATACTTCAGGCTAGCATGACCTAGGCAGGCAATAACTATTTTTTGTTATTTCTTTATCTTCTACCAAACACGCCAGCTCTATGCCAGCAGGCATGGTAGCTAGCGATCATCGGATGATGCGATCGTTTAAATACCTACCATTTGTGCGTTATGTAGCTCTCTCATTTAGCAAGGCAACAATATGATGGACATTCACATTAGGCATAAGACACCAATGGTAGTGGTGGCGAGGACGTTGCCACAGGCGGGGTTTGTCCTGCAGACCCGGCCGGCAAATGCTTCACCTGAGCAACATTTAAGACGAAAGTGTTTAATGTCAGGGTCCACCAAGATTTCAGTGACATATTCCCGCCCCAAAATGACGTCGAAAAAATACACACAACAGAAGACAAAGGAAAAAGTTTCGTCAACGAGTGTCGCTTACAACACTTAAACCTGCCTCTCGTAAATAACGTAATAGTGTGCCGAGCTAACCGTGCTCAACTCAGCACGTTTAGCACGGTCAGCTATATTACGCTAGGGATAAAGAAAGCGGTTCGACGGTAGGAAGCAGGAGGGAAGTTTGTATCAACAGACGCACGCATCATCGTGCGGTCGGTTCTTGCTTTGCGTGAAGTGTTGAGAGAACGTTGCGAGCCTTGCTCACTCTACCGCCACGCTAATTCCAGTAGTTGCGGAAACAAGTGAGCAACAGAAGAAACAATGGTATCGTAGTGATCGCACAGATAAATGGACAGTTTATTCTGCGTTATTCTTCGTGTCCTCGCAAGACTCCTGCTTCATTTCATTACTGCTGCGTATAGTTAAGATGATGAGCTTCATATAAGTGGTCCGGACTCTGGAGTGGACATCAATACGCTTAGCTCTCGACCCTTCATCTTGTGACGTCATGATAGTAAAATTTGTGCGTCAGTACTAACAGAAAATACCAGTTCTTTATTGAAAGTTGTCCCACCAACAAATCCCGGAGGCCATACGCGTAGCGTTTCAGATGTTCATACACCCACAGAAAAAATACGCACGACATCAAACATGACAGCTACTTTGTAATCATACTTCGGGCACTGCTTGGCGAATGAAATACATATTACATGCAAAGTTCCGTTCCGAGTCACACGTCTTGTGCGGCAGCTTGCACCAGGAAGCGCCACAGTCTTAGAATGCAGGTGGCGTCACAGCGGTCCGCATTCACTTGCAGGCCTTGGGCTTAAGCATAGCATATAGACAAACAACTGTTCATAAAGAACCGCAAACGAAAGGCGTCGCACGTATCCTGCGTGACGTCTTGAAAGCAGAAAACTGAAGACTTCCCACCGTAAGGCTTTGTCAGTCCGGTCGTTTCATAGCCCAACCCTGTTACCCTGTTTCCTGGTATAGGGATGACTGTAATAACGCAACAGTCTTGAACGACTCACATCGTCAACAAGTCCTCCCAGAAGGCAACACTACATGAAAGGTAATCACAGAGCCGCCACGTGTCTCAACGGTCCATCGACGAAGCGATGCTGATGCGCCCTTTCCATCACCGGCGTTCGGGCTGTCAACTCTATATCGGTGCTCAGCACGCTACTTACGAGTGAGACCCACAGCGTCAGCCATGCCCAGAAGCAGGAAGCACGTCTTAGTCTTCAAAGAACTGACACTTGTCTTGTCTCTGTTGCCACGTCCTTACGACGACAATTCTTGGCAAACAGCTTCGGCGGTAAGCCCCTGTCATCGCCTGAACATAAAGGACACACGATTGAACGATAAGCTCAGTCCAGTGACTATGTCCCAGATGGATGGTTCCCGGATGACTCACAGCACAGCAACGGTTATTACTCTGGACATTCATACCATCTTAACACTGCCAGTTTACTGTAGGTGTCGTGGTCGGTACGCCGGTCGCTAAGTCTGCAGGACCTCTACGGCCACTTTGACATCTCCTCACGTTACTATGCGCAATGAGAAACTTACGCGGCTGCTTTATTAAAAAGAAAACTACACGTCATCGACGACGGTATGAATTTACGTACTTACCATTCAATAAAAGGGCACTGCTGAAAGACCCTATCGTCACATCGCCCAATATTGCTCGAATCCTATAATTCCTCTGGCTCACTAGGAAGCTGTAAGAGCCCCATAAAGTTAACCATATAGTGAGTTCGGCAGATTGGCGCATTTAGACAACAGGCAGTTTTGAATACGGTGCGCAAAACCTTGAACTAGCGTTCGACGCCACTGTGCACGAATCACACGCTATCCTCCAGGGTACACGCGTTATGTGACGGAAATAGCGCGTCATACTCAACGAACGCTATCTCTGCGTACCCTATTCTGAAGCCACCTATATATAGTCTCCTTCGGTCATTCTGTAGGACATCCCGGTTTACTGTGACATCGCTCCGAACTTGGTCAAGGAAATCGTGTCCCCTGAATACTTATGCGACGAAGCTTGTTGGCCAGCAAGCCCGATACTTCAAGATCACGCTACATCAGATGTCTTCGCAGAAGTATGACCTGCTCCAGCTGCACGTCGGTAAAGCGATGCCGACGCGCCGCTTGAATCGCGGCCGTAACGGAAGCGACCTCTTCTGCTGTTGCGGACGCACCACCAACCGCAAACACCGACAGCGCCAGCCTAGCCAGGAGTGGAAAACGTGGCTGGTTCGCCCTCCAATAAGCTAGGGGCGTCACAATGTCTTCCATCGTGTCTTCGGACAGGTACAGGCACAGCTCCTGTCCCAGCGGCGTCGTGGGTCCCGGTTGCTGAGTCGATGAACTGTCCAGGTTCCGGATGTTCCGAAAGAGCTTCTGGCCCTTGTTCCCGGCGTCGGCGTATCGGCGTTGAACGGTGACCGCAGAGGGAGGATCGATGTTTAGGGCGGCGCGCTGTTTCTCGATGGCCTCCTTCATCTTGCAAGCGGTCTGGTCGTCGCACCAGCTGGTCTTGAAGCGGGGATCGAGTAGCGCGCCCGCGAGCAGGACCGGGTCGCTCCACGAGTTGGTGAAGTGCGTCTCCACGCTGCGCAGCAGGTTCTCGGCCATCGTTTTCAGTTGGAAGCCGTCTCTCGTCACCGCCCGCGTCAGACTAACCTGTGATAAATAGAATGTGTAAACACATGTTTACTCCCAGAGTACAAATTGACATACTGCAAACACTTATCGCACCTTTAACCAAAGGCTAATTAGAGGTCCGAGAAACAAAATAAAACAAGCAGATCCTGAGACACTAAGGAAGACCAAACTATTGTATATGGCCGCTTTCAGGAACAGTCAGATGAATACAACAGACAGTTAAGCCGACGAAAGCGTTGAGGACATTACTGCTTGCTTCTTAAAACTACAGTGCAATAAATTCACCGGGATTAAAAGTGAACGTAAAGCGCCCTTTCCGGCAGTGGAATTTGAACACATAACCTTCAATTTACGGATCCGACGCTCTACCCATTCAGCTAAGATTAAAGAATTTTGTTCGTCTACGTTGTTGGTTATTTCCGTGCATGTGATCCCAAGAAGTGTTCGGCAGTGCAACTAATAACCAAGCCGGTGGGTGTGTACAACATGTTTCGCCAGAGAGCATCACGTTTTTCGGCTTTATTGTTTGTGTATTCACATGACTCGGTCAAACAAAGACACGAAAAGAAATTCCTTTCAGGACGTTCACCTGAAGGTTTCTCAGCGCGGGCAGCACCAATCCCACCGTCTCGTGGGGCTGCCGCAGCGCGTTGGTGGCCTCTTCGAGCGGCGCCAGTACTTCGAGCAAGTCCTGCAGGAGCGTCACGTCGGTGGCCGTCAGGCCCACCTCCTTGCAGGCGTAGATGCGCTCCTGCAGGTCAGCGTGCTGCGTGAGCACCGAGCACAGCTCGCGCAGGCAGTCCAGCTGCGAGGTCCACTCGTCCGAGTAGCTGGACGGGAAAGGGAAGGACACGCCCGTCACCCCGGCCACGGTCGCCGCGTCTCTGGCGCTGCACTTGATGCCGGACACGACGCGGCTGCACCGGGCCACCAGGCTCATCACGTCCTGGTCCTGGACGAATGACCCATCTCAAAGGTTGATTCGTTCATTGATCTGCGGCCTTTACAGTTCGCGAGGTTGCATTGAAGCCATGATAACGGCTATACCTGAAGAGCGTCACGAAACAATAGATCACTTAAATTGGCCTCACTGAAGCCGCCATGTTGAAGTCGCAACTTAGAGGGACGCAGGTGATTGTGATATCATTCTCATCCAATCGTAAAGGTATCGCCATAAAGATCCCGCTATCGCTTGTCGCAGCAGAAAGGTGCGAGAAAAGTGCCCTGGGTGACTACATCAGTGCACTCTGATTGATAGCGCTACAGAGCCGTCAGATAATGAGAGGCAGAGGTGTAATGTGTGTGTGTGTGGGGGGGGGGGGGTCGTTCACCTTTGCCTTCCTGGACCACTTTATAGGGCACCACAAATTGTGGCTGCGGTTCGTTCAGGACGTCGACTATATCGCAGGACTCCATCTTGGCTAAAGAAACTTACAAATTTTCATCACGACAGTCATTTGTGTACCTCACTCTCAATGCACAGTCGGCTCGACCTGACAATACCCCCGTATCCCTCCCACCCCCCCGTTCTGTTTACGGACTTAGCCACAGTTTTTCGAGGCGAAGCTCCTTAGGCCATGGGTTTGTCAATCCTAGCTCGTCGAGGTTTGTGACCACCTCGTTTGATGACTCACTCAGCAAGTGCGGACGGGTGGACGGACAGACAGACAGAAGGACGGAGGGACGGACGAAACGCCGGACATGCAGGCTGACAGATGGACGAACGAACAAACGATTGGCGGTTCGCTGATAAAACCCTCCGACGCTTCGTCCCACTGACCATCATTCACCCCATGGATGTGCTGTGATCTTTTTTTTTTTCGGAGGGGACATAGATCGCTCAAACACGGTTAATTTACGCTCGTGTGTGTTTCTATGCATGCGTGGATATACACAGATGTTCACTTTGGAAATCCAGGAGAGGTTTTGAACCAAGGATGTTTTATCAAATCCTGGAGTTGAAGCTTTCACGCTGCCTTAGCAGCCGATGTAAAGTGTGAATTCGCCTGGCTCATAACAGAAACATAACCTTCCCGTGTGATTACCGTTAACAGATAAGGTGTTTTTGTACTACCAACGCAAAAGCAAGTCCAAATATGAAATAACGAATCGCTTTTTTCCGGCCACATTCCGACGGAGGCCCGCGTACCACCGTGCGTTGTCAGTGCGTGTTAAAGAACACCGGATTGTCGAAATTGCCAGAGCCCTGCCCTACGGCACCTGTTACAATGATATCGTGGTTTCGGGACGTAACTTCAGGTATTATTATTAACAGATCTTAGTTTAAACCCATTCTTCCTCTTCCCCGACTACGCCGATGCATCTGGAATGCGTCGCCCTTCCAGGGCAAATGAGATACCCCATGCCTCTGCGCTGCTTACATACGACGTTCGCCGCGACTCCACTCAGCGCCGGCTTACGACTTGGTCCTCCTGCGAAGAACGACCAGTGCAGGGCGGCGCGTAAGCCTAAGGGGGAGCTTGCGTAGGTTGTTAGCGCAAGTGCTCGTTAGCACCGGTCCGCCACTCAGACACGCGTGCCTCGCCGTGCTGTCCCCGGTCGCGCACACCTATGCGCATGCAGCGAGGCTCGTTTGTCGCTCGTTCCTGCGGCGCGAACGCGCGCTAAGACGGTCGGCGGAGGTTATTATACGCACACATGCGACTCGCTCCACTCTCTTGCGATAAATATTTTAACCCGTGAGATTCTTCGCAGTGGTATAGTATACGCTTGGCTTTCCCTTCGTGACATGTAGGTAGGTAGTTAGGCAATTGCTTTATTTTTCTTTTTGAAAGGAATGGGAAAAGAAGATAGAGATAGGGGGGAGGTTCCTGGTACATGTAGTCTCCTTTCTGCACCTTGAAACTGGCGCTGTGAATGATTATAAAAAACCTCTTTATGAGGATCTAGCCGTTGTCCCACGCAGCTTAAGACATGCGTTTATTAAAGGTTAAATTGTTGAAGAAGCTACGGGGCTTTACGTCCAACAAAGGTACTATTGTTAAGCACTACCAAGGCAGAAGTTCGTGAGAAGGTAATAATAATAATAATAATAATAATAATAATAATAATAATAATAATAATAATAATAATAATAATAATAATAATAATAATAATAATAATAATACGATATGATTATGAGGGACACCCAAGTGAAGGACTCTGGAAATTCATACCACTTAGGCTTTTTTAGTCTGCAGCTAAATCTAAGCGCATGGACCTTAAGCATTTTCGCCATCATCGAAAATGTGACCACCGCAGCCGGTAATCGATCTCGGGACCTTCGGGTCAGCAGTTCACGGGTACACGCAGGCGTAAAGATATAATGAAGAATGTTCTCGAACAGGGAGTATTATTAGGGCCAAAGTTTGGGACAAGTGACACGCACACACACACACACACACACACACACACACACACACACACACACACACGCACGCACGCACGCACGCACACACACGCACACGCACACGCAAACACACACACACACACACACACACACACACACACACACACGTCATCGTCAAGGTAGCCTTGACCAACACAAGTGCACATCTCAGAACTGTGGCTCCAGCGACCTCCGCCGTTTTCGACGATTTCTCAGCGCTTCAAGCCTATGTCTTTCCCTGAAATTCAGTCTCGTTTAGACACGCACAGAAATGCCAAGTGCTCACCACATCGAATGCGCTCCGCACGGCGCAGTGTAGGCGGTAGTCGGTGCTTATGGACCAGTCCGGCTCAGACGCGTCTAGCTCTTGCAGTATTTCGTGGCTGAGGTCGAACTCTGCCGACTCCAAAGACCACGAGGACACGGCGCCTCCCTCGTCTCCTCCTCCGCGGTTCGAGTCGCTAGCCCAGCCGGGGAACGAGAAGGTCCTGGCCGTGCGAGCTGGACTGTCTACCAGAACTCGCATGACGCGCTGCAAGGTGTTTTTGTACAGATGTTTTATAGAACAATAAAGAATGTCTGAAGCTATCAAGATGACGCGAAAACAAAAACGACTTTTGTGTGACTGGAAGTGCCAGCTGATGAGTATACAAACACATATATTCATTAACGTGTGCCATCATGATTCTGCGGTTCCCGGTGGCACGGGCACCGAGTGACACTCGTGTTCCTCTTTCAAGAACTTCCAGTCGAGCCCTTGGACGTTCAGTCACAGTCCCCCGAGTGCGCGCTAACCGGGAGAGGTACACTGACAGTAGAAAAGAATCTACAATAACTAGATTGAAACGGGCGTACAAGAGACGCCACAGCGTCTGTCGCAGACGGAAGAGCTGCGAACAGCACATCCGATCACATCGAAGTTTTGTTGCCTAGACATGCATTTCCAGACCCACAAGAATCTGTTAGACCATGCACAGCGTAGAGCAACGGTCACTGAAGTCCAGGACTAGGGACCCACCCTCGCCTTTCCCTTGCCTCTCATAATTCTCGGATAAAGTTTTTCGACAAATCAATTCGTTCACCTTGAATGCTCTTAAGAGGCTTCTCTCACCGAAACCAAGCCATGTGGAGTCTATAGCCAGAAACTTTGTCGACGGATATGGGAGGAGGGGGCTCAACCATGCTCTACGCTTTATGTACGGTCCTGCGCCCACTTCTGTAGCGCGTGCACATATACAAATGCAAAATTGGAAATTTGTCAGGGAACAAGGTAGTACCTCCTATTGGCTACGCCAGTGCTGATTTTGTAGATCTTCACTGTACAAAAAGAAAAAAATAAGGGCTGTATGCGTGTACCTTTTTGTCAATGTTCCACTGCCGTAGCGCAGACTCGAAGACATCTCGGATGGCATCGGTGGCGTCCTGGTCAGCGGTGACCCTCCTGAAGGCGACGCTCTTCCTCTCGGTCTTGAAGTGACGCGTCGCGTAAGACACGTCGACGCTCGCGTACACGTCATCCGCCTCGCCCAGCCAGACGCCGATGACCGCCGAGACGAAGTCGGCGGAGGTGGCCCTGTGAATGGATGGCGACAGGGAGTCTTGCAGTTGGCTCAGTCGCCGAGGGAGCAGCAAGTCCGCCAACTTCTCCGCGGTCGGAGGTTCGTAGTCGGGCGCTGCGGCCTGGAAAACGAGAAGCAGGCATGACTACGCAATAACTTCGTTGTTAAACAATTGTAATTCGACACGATCTTTGAATTTTTCACGGCCTCCTGTAACGAACTATAAGAGCGATCTATAATGGTATCTATGCAGTATCTTGTCGTCACATGTGAACGTACATGATCTTATGCATTTCTATGGAAGCGTGGCCTGAGAACGTTTGACCAGGATTGTACCTGTTTAATTTCGTCGACATCACGGTGTAAGAAAAAAATCATTATTTTTCTCGCACCATGGTTGACTCTAAGAGGAAAGATTGATTGATTGATATGTGGGGTTTAACGTCCCAAAACCACTTCATGATTATGAGAGACGCCGTAGTGGAGGGCTCCGGAAATTTCGACCACCTGGGGTTCTTTAACGTGCACCCAAATCTGAGCACACGGGCCTACAACATTTCCGCCTCCATCGGAAATGCATCCGCCACAGAACATCTTGATCCTGCGTGTACAGCAAAATGCCCACACTGTGCGGAGAAGTCCTCTGACATCTTTCAGATGGTGTGGGCATGCCGGTCAACTCCGCACCTCACCCCAAAACCAAACCCCGCCCGGGAGGACTGGGTGGCAGCCCTGCTCAGCTGTTCCGACCTGGCGAGCCAGAAGGCCCTGGTCAACCGAGCTCGAGTCGCGTTGGCTGCCAATGGACTTCTGTAACGAGGAGCCCGCCTAGTGTGTGTGAGGGGTGGCCCGCACCGGGCCATCTCCCTCCTACTCCCAGTATAAATATATATAAATAATAAAGTATTTCTCTCTCTTTCTCTATCCGTACGTTGTCGGAAGCGTCTCATCCCTCCTGTTTAACGTGCGTGCAGTCCTCTGTTCCGTTGTCAGCAAGCTAAACGCGAACGCTCGGACGCGTGATCTGGACTAATTTGACTGATGTCAGCCGCGAAGCGGTGGACGCTGTTCCTGAGAAACTTGGGTATGCTTGGACAGTATGTCAGAATGCATGGCTAACGTCTCGGCAACAGAATTCAAAGCTAAGCTGCGCAAACGTCAGCCAAACTGTTGTTGTGCAACGCTTCCGAGAATGTGCTCTCGCTGTTTACGTCGCGCACTTGGCGTACTCAAATACGCCGTGCTTAAGGCTTTTATCGGTAACAAGGCTCCCGTATAGGGTGCCGTAACGTCAAGCAAACTTCGTGCTGTTTTCGGTCCGTGTGTTCACGTTTACACTGATTTCTTTGTATCCGCGCGCATCCTCGGTTATCTCTGTAGAACGTACGCCGATTGCACAGTCAGACGCTTATCGCCCTGCAAGGTCGCCACGGACTTACGCCGATAGCACAGACAGACGCTTATCGCCCATGGAGTAGCCTTTTATGCGCTCGTGATGTGCCGCGTCAACGGTGTAAATCAAGCTGGTAGCCACGTTGATAAGAAAGAAAGAGGGGAAAAAAATCGGCGATACAGTCTGCAACGACTTCCAGAAGCACTCTCTAATGTCGTTCTAAGTGTGACGTAGTGCACAGTCATGCCCACACATTTAGTCTTTGCTCCTATCAATCTTTTTTTTTAAACTTTGAACGCATCAGTGCCCTCATTTTCGACCTTTCGTGACACTGTGAACGTGCTTCAGTGATCTAGTAACAGCCAGTTTTACGTTGTCAGTTGGTCGATTCGAACGGCAAGGTGCGATCTCCCCCGAGAAGGTTGGACCAAGAACGAAGTGGTAAGTGCAAAACCACTTTAACAATTTTGTAGGGAAAAAGAAATTGCCGAAGCTAGCCTTATGAGCCGCGCAAAGCTTGAAGCAGCGAAACTACAATAACTAATCTGGTTACTTCTAGGCCTTGACTAGGTGATTCAGGTTGTTTCCAGGTCGCTTCTAGGTCGTTGCCGAGTTTTTCCCTAGGTGCTGCTCGGTTGTTTCTACGCTGGTTTTTCAGCACAGAAAGGCTCGTGTTAATACACAGACAGTCACAGACACGGATCTCTCAACTAAAGAAGGAACCTAGCTCTGAAACCAAGCATTCGCTTCTCTCATAGGTCTACGGGCACGTCATCTTTGGCGTAGGCCTTCCATCACTTCAAGGTCTACTCGTGCCCGCCTTTGACTTTCCCGTGCCTTATGCTATTTATTATCTCGTTCCACGTACTCGGGGTGTTCAGCTTACCGTCATCACTTCGCAGCCATTTATGTATAGATGTAGCTCCTGAAATTATGGCTCGTACCTACCGTGGAGATGGGCCAAGAATCGGGTAGCTTAGAAAAAAAAATATTTGAAAGCTAGAAAAGATAATTTCTCGTTTTGTATAACAATATGTTGTTTCCGGAATCATTATTAAAAAAAGACGTCGAAGCAATTCTTATATAATAAACAATAACAGAACGATAAATAAGAAAATTTCATGCAGCCTACTTTGGTTAACTATGAAGCTTTGAAACCGTTGTTATTGTGTAAATCAATTGACAATGCCATGAAATTTCGAATGGCCTCGCATGCCTTCCCACTACTGTGCCCAAGGATAAGCGTAACTAAACTTGGCAAATTCGACATTGTTGACTTTAATCCAATGATGCGCAACGGTGTTTACAGCGACCACTCTGCTAATTTTTGTCGTCATGTATAGTATCTTTCAGCGTATTAATGGGTAGGTGTTGGGCATTATTAGGGAAAACTTCATGTAGGTAGATCTGGAGAAAATTTGTGGCATTACAAAGCGGAATAACCTCGCCAGTTCGAAAGAGCAGTAGATCGAGAGGAGATTGCACGAGCTTTACATGCGGTGTGGGAAATCTAGGCCAATGAAAATTAAGAGGGAAAAATACAGCCAAGTCGCTTAATGATAACTGTTAGGTTGCGCCTTAAACGGGGCTTATATGCCCTTAGATATGTTTGTGCAGCCAAAATTCGAAATCTGGTTTTGTGTGGGGGAATTCTAGCTTCCATACACAGAACATCACACGCAACCAATTTAAGTAGCCTTAAGCCCATTCGCAGCGCCTGCTTCTGCAGAGGAACAAGACGAAGCTCAGAGTATAAAATTCTATTACGGGTTTTATATAGATGCGTTACAATGACGACAACGCGGCTCTACGCAATATTGGTCTGATGTTGCTCATTCTCTCCAATATGCCAAGTGCCCAACACTCCTTGCGGGAACATATCTCTACGTGGTCCAAAATATTTGACATTTCGACCTTGATTGATATGTGGGGTTTAACGTCCCAAAACCACCATATGATTATGAGAGACGCCGTAGTGCAGGGCTCCGGAAATTTCGACCACCTGGGGTTCTTTAACGTGCACCCAAATCTGAGCACACCGGCCTACAACATTTTGGCCTCCACCGGAAATGCAGCCGGGATTCGATCCCGCAACCTGCGGGTCAGTAGCCGAGTACTTTAGCCATTAGACCACCGCGGCGGGGCGACACTTTGAACTTGTAGGATGATTTCAAGTTTACACGAAAGAAGCATACGCACTTGGTCTTCTGCACCTTGCCGCGGTGGTCTAGTGGCTAAGGTACTCGGCTGCTGACCCGCAGGTCGCGGGATCGAGTGCCGGCTGTGGCGGCTCCATTTCCGATGGAGGCGAAAAAGTTGTAGGCCCGTGTGCTCAGATTTGGGTGCACGTTAAAGAACCCCAGGCGGTCAAAATTTCCGGAGCCCTCCACTAAGGCGTCTCTCATAATCTTATGGTGGTTTTGGGACGTTAAACCTCACAGATCAATCAATCAATACGAACAATGCGCCCTTATTCACGTTTAGACAACGATCGATGACATCAAGCAAGAGTCCCATTTTAAGATGAGTATATTTCCAGGATTTGATAGAGAGCGCGAATGTCACTGGCTGATGAAAACAGGCCTGCATCCTCCGCATAGACGTAATAGCGTGAGCAATACGAACACGAGAGCGCATTTCGAGTTGCCTCGAACCCTACATCGGATGATTCGCAGCGGCTTCTGTTCGGGAACGAATTGGAAAGGGCGCCACGCTTCCGCTAAATGTCGACGCTTCCCGCCTCAATATTGTTGCCACAAAACAGCGCGACAGTATTCAATGGCGGATAATACTAATTAACATCAACGCAAACAGCCACAACCAGTGATCCATTGGCGATAATAGCCGCTGAGGATTCGGCTTTGGCGTAGTCTGCCGTGATGCACAGCGAATGCAATGGCATACGTCTATGCTGTTGGCTGAACACTTTTATTCGTGTCCTTAATTTAAATTTCAATTTTAGTGCAGCTTTCTTCTCTTTTCTTTACATTGCCTCTAGAATCGATCCGCGTTTAAGTAGCTGTATTTAGAACCCACCGAGTTCGGCCTGAAAGACATCCACGTTAAGTCATTAGCAAAAATTTACAGAACGCTTGAGGTAACAAGTGGGCTTACGTAAGCGCATTGAAAGACGAGGAAGATCGACATGGCACACACAGGCGGTAATTTGCAGCTATCTTTAGTACGAGCCAGGAGAGAGAAAAATAAACGTCTATTTCTAAACAATGCTCCGAGCGATGCCTGGTATTACCCTACTAACCCCAACACATAGCCAACATCATGGCGTAATCAATCATACATGCGCTGTTTGCGAAAAAAAAAAATACTTGCATGTGATTGCGCAGATAGGATAACTTTTCGCGAGAAGGGGCAACTGATGGCTTCAAACAGATACTCTTTAGTCTATCAATCATTTTTCGTCGGGATATAGTCATGATGGAGCAGTCTCTGTATGCTAGGGCACACGTGGTATGGCTACCAACCACACCACGTGTGCCCCACCATACACAAGTCGTTGTAAGTTCGCAACTGTGTGTGTGTGTGTGTGTCACCTAGTTCTCTGTCCGCGTCGTTCCATGCACTTCAAGCCATTTTCATGTTATACCATCAAGCCCAGAACACTCCATTCCTGCCCTTCAGATGCGTTACCTTCATCAGCTGCAGAAAGCCCGGCCTGTGCACCACCTCGAACGGTTCCAGGTCACGCCACACGAGTCCCAAGACTGCGTCGTTGATATCGTTGCGGCGACTCCTCGGCGAATCATCCTGGCAGTCCAGGACGACGCTGGGAGTTGCCGTAGCTACGGAAGACGTTGCCGGACTGCCCGCAGACGAGGACTCGCACTCGTTGACCGGCGTGACAACCGGCGACGTGTACCTGCTGATCGTCTGCACTGCCATTCCTTGATGGTTGTCCGACTGAGTCGGGACAAAAGAACTCGAAGGCCCCGACGCCCCCACCGAGTCCAGGCTCCAGGCGAACCTCAAGTTCTGGTCGTCCACCACGGCGTCGTGCTCCGGCATGTCTGACAGGATATAGCTGCCCGTGGAGGAACTGTCGAGCATGCTCGTGACGAACATAGTCGCGGACGAGGTGGATGACGCAGCGCAGACGGGCGCCATTTGTACAGAGGGTCTCTCGTAGGCACACGGGGTGGCAGAGGCGTCCTGGCCAGTACGACGTCTCCACTCGTGGATGACGACGCCGGTACTTGTTTAACCGGGGAGGGAGAAGGGGAGGACAACGTCGGCGCCGATGAACCATGCTTTCGTCGTTGTTTGCTGTTTTGGAGGTTGAGGGCGATGTCCAGCTCCCGCGAGTGCCTCCGCTTGAGGTGCCGCAGCAGGTTTGAGGAGACGCCTGCCGTGGCCCGGATGCATTCGTTGCAGAGCAGACAAGTTCCAATCAGCCTCGTACCTTCAATCCTGGTGATGTAGAATCGGCGCCAGGACGCCGGAGGTGGACCCCTGGCGAAGGCGCGCCTCTGGATTAAGGCGTTCGATGCGGAAGATGGCGGCGAACAGGTGACCATGGTGCTCCGGTGCTCTTGAAGGTCCACCACGAGTGGCTGGGAATCGTCGCTACAGAAATCGGCCATGATTGGACACGAAGAAAGGGTCACGGAAGTAAACTAATAAGTTGCCACAACGGCGTACCCGTCTTCATCTGATGAGCGAAATACGCACTTGCTCACTTTCGGGAATTCATGTTTCGGAAACGCAAGAATGCAGTCTGCAGTGATCGAACACCCCAGTCATGTGGTTGCGCGATTCGTCATGCCTCAGTACTTTTGTTCGGCTCAACAGCCTTGCAAGTACAACGTCACTGTATTTTGTACGGGCAACGACCCCCGATTCGCACGAAACGTTTCACTCATCGAGCTCCACGCAGTTTCACGCGAAATAAAGATGTGACACAGAACTAAGACTGGTGCACCGACGCCTCCAATCGAACGACACACTACACAAAACAATGTGTGGTAACCTAACCTGTTCTCTAATGACGTCAGTAATTTGCGGGAACAGCACACAGGAATTCACGATTTCTCCGAGAAACTTGTCACCGTGGTGCGTTCGCTTCGGATTTCTTGGCGCTTCGCTGTTCGTAACACCGCAGCCAACTAATCAATCAAACACTCCCGTGACGCAGACGACGAAATCTCAGACAACGGTGAACGAGACATTCTTTTTTTCAAAACCATGGCTTCCACGCCTATTCGTGGCCACCGCCGCACAACAACGTCCCTCCCAAACACACGCGAAAAAGGGCGGAGTGGACGCATACATGCTACGAAGCGAGCACTTCACTGCCGCCGTTGCATTACAAAAATGGCGACCAACTGTTCTCTTCCCAGTCCAGCGATTCCACGCGAACGAATGCGGCGCTTCAACATTTAAAATACAACGTGCACAGCGAGTACGGACGGCGCCAAAAGGAAACGTTTCACACGAAGCTCACGTTCTCTGGAAGGGAAGGCAGCCGTGCGTTGAAATCCGTCGCCAATTCCGCCTAGCTGGCTGCAGCCGCCATTCCAATCGAATGCTCCCAAAGCGAATGGACTCGCCGGCCGCCACGTCAGGAGACGAGGAGGAAAGCTCGCAGTCAGCTGGCGCGCGACAGGCGAATAAAATGAACGAACACAAAACGCCTTCGAAACGGTTCCCCTCGGCGCGGAATGGAACGGAATGGAATGCCGCCCCTTCTCCCACATCACACACTCTCTCGTTTTCTCTCTGCGACGTCACGAACGCTCTCACCCTGAACGTGTCGCCAGCCGCCGCTTCTCGTCTTTTCATAAGTTTGCTTTTAAGTTAACCCAAGGGCGGAAACCGGTTGCTATGTGAGCGGCGGTGGCGCTTCGTTCGCCTATTCTCTGTTACACGGGCGCGCTCCTTCCTTATCGCTTTTTATTTCGATTTCCGTGGACAATGCGAGGCGGGGGAAATGGAAGCGCACAGCCGGCTTTTTCGAACTGTTATTGCCAGGCAGTGTCTCGCGTTTCTTTAAAGCACGCGGCATTATGACGTCACGCCGACACGGCGCGTGACCGAGGATCAGCTTTGAACAGCTGCTGCTACAGTTCGCTGGAAAATCGCCTCCCGGGTATAGCGCTTAATGTTTAGTGTTCATAATGAGCATATGTTTAGTGTTCCTAATGAGCATAACAGCTTGTTAGTTACGCGACTGATTCGGCCCGGCGCATTTTTCAAGGTCACTCAAATAGAATCGCGAAAAATAGGCGAAATTTCCATCGCTATGTTAGAAATTATATTCTACGAACCAGTTTGGTGATTTGATTTCGGTTGGGTTTTCTAGGTAATTTAGGAATTGAGAGTTAATCAAGATATTAAATATAGAATCTAGATTTCATTTAATTTTGTTCAGTGCTTACTCGCTTCCCCTACTTATTAAATTCGATCTGCGAGTCTTTGAAGCTTAACTATATTGGAGTAATTTTGGGAGAAACTAGCAGCTCACCATTGAAATTCGACTTCTACGTTCTGTTGATCCTGACTTTAATATGTGTTGGTTGTGTGGTGGTCTTACAAAAAGACTTATGTGGTTTACAGGTTCTTAGCGCCCACTAGAAACTTTGTGTGGAATGAATGAGCAACAACCCAACGCCTAACTAGAAAGAATGCGAGAGGGAAAGTGCCTCAACAATTCAGGGAACTCCATCTACCATCGCTTTTGTGAGCAAACCAACTAATCTGACGCTTCTTTGTAAATCCCACTGCACGCATAAATTGAAATAGGCGAACTTCGCATCCCCGTACGTACCCTCTATGTTGGCCAATTGCGTCCTCTGGGGAGTGGACTGGGTCGGGATGTTTATAAAACTCTCTCTCTTAAAGCGAATAGGTTAACTCTCTTCGCAATTCGGAACTCTGCAAAGTTTTGACCCGACCATGTTTGCATTTCTAATGACTCGGAGTGAAAGCGCTTCTGTGTGTGCGCTTTGTACAACAAAGCTATCCCAGTTCTACTCTGTGCTTCCGCTGTTGTCGTCATTGTCAGCGGCGTCGTTGGTAGTTAGTTATTAGTTAGTAGCTGTAGGGAAAGTAGTAGAGGTAGCAGTAGAAGCAGCAGCATTACGAACAGTGGTAGTAGTCGTAGCAGTAGCTGTGAAATACGTCATACCAGCCCCGAAAGCGTACTACAGCAATAGTAGTAGTAGTAGTAGTAGTAGTAGTAGTAGTAGTAGTAGTAGTAGTAGTAGTAGTAGTAGTAGTAGTAGGGAATTATAACATGATGCCAGTCCCGAAAGTGAACTAAAGTAATGAAGCGTGGAAACTCGTGCATTCAGTTATGGACTACAGTAATCGGAGTAGTAGTTGTATTTAGTGGAGGTAGGGGTAGTGAAAGTAGTAGAGATAGTACTAGAAGAGAGAGAGAGGTAAAGGTAAGGAACTCGCTCGCTGTATTTCGTGCCGACAGGTTGTGGCCCCGCGATCTCCGACGACAGCGCAGCTCTGGCCGACTGGGCTCCTCCTACGCCATCTCCTGACGCCGACAAGAGCTCTCGCCGAGTGGTGACCCGTCCTCGGACTCCTGCGACCGTGTCCATCTTTCCTATCTCCTCTTTACTTCCGTCGTTTTCTGTCGTTCGCTGTCCCTACGCCTCGCTCTCTCCTTCCTCTATCTATTTACCTTTTAATCCTATCCTTTTAATTCCTCCTTACCACCATCCCTCGTGAGCTACTGTTGAGATGTCGTACTCTCATGCAGACAGTTACGGGGCTCACTTTTCTCTTCTTTTCTCTTTAAGAATCACATGAGGTAAAGGTAAAGAGAAAACAGGGAAGCTAACCAGAAGAAAGCTTCGGTTTGCCACCCTGTGCTTGGGAAGGGAAAAAGGGGTGTAAAAAAGTTGAAGAAAAGAGGAGTTGGTGGCAGTAAGGAAAAAAATAGGTAGTGACTGGAGCACTGTAGAAAGCAACGTTGCCCGCGACCAGCCACAGTTTGTCTCCAAGTCCGGTTGCTTGCACGAACCGCAGCAACGCTTTCAGAGCAGCTCGCCGTGCAGACCGGGTAGGCCGGGGCCTCAAGATTTTGTTCTCTGTCAGGGGGTGGTTGTCCAGTTGTACTAATTTCCGGAGCCCTCCACTACGGCGTCTCTCATAATCAAATGGTGGTTTTGGGACGTTAAACCCCACAAATCAATCAATCAATCCAGTTGTACTAGTAAGACTGAGAGGGTGTTCTTTCGCAGTTGAAGCGTGTGCAGGCACAGAGAAGGTGCACGACTGTTTCGCTGCATCCACGCATTTCACATAACGGGCTGTCAGTCATTTCAATAAAAAATGAATAGACATTTGAGAATGCCACAAACGGGCCAGCAAGATAGTGTCACGTCCTGATAGGCTGAGCGAGGGACGTAGCTGAAGGTCAGGGTTCAAAGCACGTATAACCGTGCACTTGTGAAAGTCGATGAATGACATAAATCTAACGGGCTAGCAAACGAAGTTCTTTTGTTGCGCCGGGTCTTAGAGGGGAATGGCGACACTGCTGACATCGTCATAGACGAATCGGGCTGTTGCGCCCGCTTGGTCATTGCCCTGAATGCCACAATGACAAGGCGTCCACTGGAATATCAATTTGTGCCCTTTTTTTCGATTATTTCATGGCGCATTTGCCCGATTTCCACTACGAGGTGCTCGGATGGTAGACTTTGGAGGGCTGCTTCGCGATCGCAAAAGATCATTCACGAATTAGGTGTCTGATCTATAACAAAGTGAAGAGCGGCACGGAAGGCTACTATTTGATCTGCTGCAGTTGAGGTTCCATGAAGCATATTTAGTTGTAATGTAATGGATCTTGCTGGAATTACTTCAGCGGTGGTGGAGCTTGTCGTGATAATTGAGCCACTTGTGTAAATATAGGTGTGAGGACTGTATGTCTCTTGTAAGTACCGTGGTGTGACCTGTTTAAGTGCAGCCGCTGACATTCTTGACTCTTTCTTAACACCTGGTAGTTAAGGTGCACTTCAGGTCGATTTAGGCACCATAAAGGCGAGGGAGGTCTTGCTGCAGGCGTATGGTTCGAGGGCAAAGAAGTGCAATGGGCAGCAGTAGTGTGACTGCATGTTGTACAGCGGCCTTCTGCACGTAAAGATGTAGATGGTGCGTAGGTACCCTGGAAAAGTGTCGAATATGCGCCCTGAAAAGAATACGGAGTTACGTACGTGGGCATAGGATGGTCTGCAGTCATGTCAACTGATGAAGCTGTAGACAGCACGTTTCGGAAGACCGAGACACGTCCTTTAGGCTTGAGCTGGCAGCCCCTGGAGTGTATGCAGATTAGTTTTGCAGCTATTTCCCATCACAGGAAGACTGTACCTCACAGAGCCAAGAAATAAGGCATTGTATAGTAACTGCGGCATCGGACAGTAGGGAATGAAGTTCCCAACAACTTTCCACCCAGAAACTTGAAAAGATGCGCTATGGTAGTCAAACTCCTCTTTAAGTACAAAACGTGGAGCGTCCATGATAAGTCTTGACCGATGATTACGCCTAAGAAGCGATGCTTCCGGTCATGAGAAATTGCCTGCCCATTGATGGTTATTGTGTGCTGCCACATCGTCTTGCCTTTGAATGC